GACAATGAAATTTTCAACATCAACATAATTTTTTTTATCCAGAGAACAATTGGATGCCATCAAGAGAGAATTTTTAAAAATGCACTTCCTGTCTTTCAAAATGAAGAAATCTCATGTTTAAATTTTGAAACATGCATTTCAATCTTATTAAAATTTATTTAAATGTTCCAAATCCGCTACCGCTTCTGAAACATCTAACATCCCATTCGGGGTCACATCAGAGCGACCTTTCAATTATGAATACATGTACAAGTAAACACAAACACTTTGGCCATGTAGATTCAAGCCTCGGTAAACAGTTCTCAAAATAATTCCACGGCTACATATCATCATTATTGATACTGTCTTACGTTGAATTAAAGTAATTTTGGAATAAATTTCATGTATCTTCTGCAGTCTGGCATCTAAACGTGAATAATGCAAACGAAAGAGCACAAACTATACAAGATACCCCACACGTCATACATAACACAACTTTTGCAATGCATATCTTTTTACTACAAAACTCCTCGGGTGTTTTGGTTGGGTGGTGAAAACAAGAAACCCATCTGAACTATTAGCCAGGATTTCGGAGGAACCATTTTCTTTGCCTAATCGAAGATTCACTCTTACATGACCCCAAATAGGATGTTGTTAGATGTTTGAGAAGCAGTAGCGGATTCGGAACATCTAATTTTAATTAGATTGCATCCATCTTTGACATCAGTTTGGAATGTTATTGGTTTTACTATTGAGTAAAGTATTACAAAAACAGAATGTCTGGGGTTTTCTTCTCTGATGACATTGGACAAAGATATGCATACTTAAATATCATCATTTTATGCACTTTTTCGGTACATATTAGATGAAAGCATGCTAACCGCTTTTCAGTACTTTCAGTACTTTGATTATGTATACCTTGGTGTAAAACATTTTCAAGCATAATATAAAGATGACTCACCTTGATGCCAAGGAATGTCGACCGCTTTACTATTTGGTGTCTTTGTACGCAAGTTCCAAACCGGATGTCCTGCGACTTCCGGACCAAGAATCTGCTCCATTACGTTAAGCAATCTTTCATTGCACCATAAATCTTGAAAGGACTAAAAAGAAATAAACGGACTCTCTGCAACTTTATAACGTGAGAAAATCTGTAACAATGAGACATTAGTACAATCTGATCCCAATAAAATAATGTGATGTTCTAATAAAAAAGACGAACGGGTGACGTCAATTATTGTTAGTTACGATTAGCAATTGCTCTAGCTTTGTGTTCACACAAAAGTTTGAAAATCATTTACCCTCTCACAATTATGAGAGATATATTTGCGCTAGTGAAACACTATCAAAATACGTTGTGCTACATGTATTACTCTGGAAAAAAACAATGTCAAGGAGCAAAATGTGAGTACTTCCAATCACTTCCCTCTCAATTACAGGCACTTGTTTCTGTTATAAAAATTCAGCATAAAGTTTAGTCACAGAAACAAGTGCATGTGTCCTCGATTAGTGCAATAAATCGAATTTTTGAGACCAAAGAAGAAGGCTGGTGTCAATTTTAACCAATCACTATATCAAACTCAGTTAAACAATACTAGTATATCGGGGTCAATCAATAATTATATCAATCTAAATTCATCACTATATGTCAATCTTAATATACTTTTATCAGTCTGATTCTTATGTCAAGCTAAATGTATCAAGCTCTTGTAGAGACTGAGAGGGAAGCTCTTAGTTTACTCTGCTTAATGCATAATAAATCTACACTCTGCATACATTTTTTTTTTAATTATGAATCTTACTTTTGGCATCTTTTGAGACTTAAACAAAAGAATATTGGATCCAGGATAAGCTTCTTCTAATTTTGTTAATCTCTCAAACAAGCCGTATTCTGAGAACTTTTCTAAAATGAAAAATAAATTTGATTTTGAAAAAGGCCAATTTTTACAGGAAAACATTTTATATAGATTCATTTATACATTTTCACAATCTGAATGAAGAGGCTAAAAACTACAGCAAGACATTTGTGAAATTCTGAGTATATGGAATGAATACTAGAGATAAGCCCATAGTGCAACAAACATGAAGGTGAAAAATTAAATCTCAATTTTATCAAAATTTTCCTTAATATTTCATCTAACATTAATGTACACTTTATGTAAAATCTCTACAACTTGCACAATCTCATGAAAATTGAAGTTATTTGCCAATGAAATATTATACACACACGAAAGAGGACAAAACGAGTCATTTTTTCACACTAAAACACTATTTTTCGTTATGAGTGGGTCTTCTCTCAAAGTTTGCATAAAAACATACATATTTTGGTTTCCAAAATTATGGAGCAAAGACCCACTATACCTTTAAAATATAATTTTATGACATAACTTTCGTATCTTTTCAGAAATACTTGAAGTCCCTTAAAATTAAGTCAATGGTTATATCACAAACATGATTTAAATGCCACACTTCATCAGGACTTGTGTAGCGTAGTGGTTAGCGTGCCAGTCTCAATAGAGAATGCAAATCGGGATTTTTATTATCAGGGTTCGAACCCAATGGATACCATATTATTTTTCTGTTATAAACTAAAAAGAATAAATTTTAACGAAAAATTTTCCTCAAAACTTTTTGTTTATCATGATTTTACAAAAATCAATGATTAGAACTTTACTCTAAATACTAAAATCACAATTTGAATATGATTTTTATATACCTGCAGCTTGTGGGTTTTTTGCACGCTAAGTTCACCCATCTCCTTTGTATCGAGGTAATTTTTGAGGAATAAATGAGTGGTTTACGATAAAGAGGTTCGACCATAGACTTCTGAAATGATTTAATTGACAAGAATAGAGTCTTTCGAAGCGAACGATGTCATTTTAAAGTAGGTTAATGATTAATATATGAACAAAACACGAACTTGAAGCGGAGGTGCCTGAAATTGAGTTAGGTATACCTTGTGGTAAATATAAGGAGGGGGTACCCCGTATACGAAACAAGTGCCTGTGCTGTGACAAGGTATTTTTGAGTTTGCTATGATTTCTGACCCCTTGACCTAAATGTTTGACATAATTTGAAACAAAATCAACTTTGGTAATAACTTTTGAATTACATATGATAGGGCGTTCATATTTGACACAATATGTCATAAATAATGACACTCACTCACAAAGACACTGAAAGCGGGGGACCACATTGCTTTGAATTTGCTTGTTACTAATTCGATTTTGAATGCAAAGGACGGAAAACGAGTTATTTTCTAACGTGTGTTGGAATTTTGATGAGGTGAAACATGTATTAGAGGAGGGAGAAGAATTTGCTTGGGGACCCTCGGCGTCACCTGTTATCTTGTTAGCCTTGAAGAGTTTATCTGCCAGATTATCGACCATTTCAGAGATAGAGTCCCAACAGGGCTGGAGCTCTTCTGGAGTGAAAAAGTCCTCGACTACAGTGTAACCCTGTAAAATATTTATAAAGAGGTCACTTGATGTAATATCACGATCACTCTAGATAAAGTTTTTATCTTAATAAAAATATAGCGCTCTAGGGGTCGATCCCAATACTTTGAAAAGTAAATTTATATGTGAAGACCAATTATCACCAGGAAAAAAAATATTCCAGTGTTAACACATTTCAGTAATAGTACTATACAAAATTATCTGAATTATACTTAAATTCTAAATAAGATGTTTTTCATGCATCTGCATGCTTTCAAAGTAAGGGGTCCACTTACCTCATCAAAAAACTGTTTAATTTGTTTGCTAGAGAGCTGTCCTGGCTTTTTCTTTTGGGGTTGCGGGGGCATCGTTATAAACGGCAGAGGATGAACTTCGTCCACCTCTCCGGGAAATTTTGTCTGTTTTTCTTCAGAGATCTTCATTTTCTTTCTCTCAGACATTGTTCTAGATCCGTTACCGAAGTTATCTCTTCGTCCAAGGAAAAGATAACTCTGATTTATTCAACCCTAAAGAGTTGACCGTTATCATGCAGTGATAAAAATCAATGATTTTTAAAATTGTAATGTTTAAGTATATACATATAGTGTCTATGTTTGTCATTTATTTATTATCTTATTTTTGCATGAAATCTGACAAGGAGGCGATAATCATGTGCGAATAAAAAAGTTGCACTTGTATGCATTTATCGATATATTGATATTACTTTTTTGTAATGAAAGAAATCTATAAGATGAATCATTAAAAAATCATTTAGAAATTGTTCAAATCATAAACTTGTATCTCTCGCAAATTCAACATTCTGCATGCCGGTTGACACTTGTTAGAATATATATGAATTTGATACTGTGCTCAATTTAGGGCAGATCTAGAGAGTCAGGACAAAGTTAGATCCGCTATAAAATTTCATCTATCGAGTATACAGGATTAACTTGTACTCTTAGTTATAAAAGCAAGTGCCACTCTTACAAATATCACAATAATTTTTTCTAAGGACCAAGGACAGATTTCAAAACTAGTTTTTCAACATACAGGAAAGATTATGGAAAAAGCGAATTGGAATATCCGCGCCAAGTAATTGGATATTTGTGTCTACAATTTGCAGTATTTTATATGATTTCACTGGAGAAGTGTTACCACGTCAACATTTCATGAATACTCAGAGGTAAGTCGATAGAAATACACAACTACAGTGGCATGCTTATCCATATAATTTTCTTGGTGGCTTGCTACGGAAAAGTATATCGACGAAGCAGTAACTTTGTAGTGTACATACTAGTGACACACGTACTCATAGGTGTATGGTACATATTGTAATACAGTAACTTGATGTGTTAATAAGTTGTATTTTATAAGAAAACAAAAAGTTGGCTATTTAAAGGACTGTATACATTGTTCTCTCTGTTTTTTTCTTCATTAATTGTAATATCTGGCTCATCAGTATTTTGTCCTTTATAAAAACACAAAGAACAAAAGATCGAACGAATAAAATGATTCATTTATTTATATCACAGAAAAAAATTCTGCAATGTCTGTTTTTGAGCAAAATTCAACAGGACATAGAAATATAATAGAAATAAACAACAAAACTTGGATCTTTTTTAAATATATAAAATTATTAAAAGGATAAATAGCTAATAAAAATCTGATATCACAGTACAAAATTGTTCAATAAATTATGACAATAACTTAGACTGAAATATAGTATAGTCCCATCACGTGTTCACAGAACAAGTACCAAATTGTTCAACAAATTACAAAAGTTCAAATCATATACGGTAGAAATTAGTCCCCGCACATTTGATCACAGACCATTTACAAACTGTTCAACATTATCACAGTGAGTTAAAATGTAGAAAAAGGTCCCAACACATGTGACTTTTCTCGTCTCAAACTCCGAATAGTAAAGGCCGGGCTCATAAACTTGCTTTGGTCTAACCTAGGGCTGTAGGCTGCAGGACCAGGGTTTTTCTCTGTAAATTCAAAATCAGTGAAGGCATATTCTTTTATAGAGTATAAAGCCTGTTTTACATTTTATCAATGAATTTTATACATTTATTATTAACAAATTAATGATTATCCTAATATGGATTATGGTGAAAAATATAACTTTATCTAAGACACGTCTGAAAAGTTACTTGTAAGTTTATGTTATAACTTTATTTGCAAATGTCTAAATATCATTGTCGTATATGTTTAAGAAGAGCAGTTTGGCTGAGGGTTAAGCTTACCATTATGAGACCACAGGATCGTACCCTCCCGTCTGAACTGGTGTGAAAATGAGGGACTCGATCTATATATCACCCTGTCTGCTTGGTTTCTCTCGTAATCCCCAGGGGAGGGTTGTTTGGATGCTTCTGTCAGATAGATAAATAATGATTGCATTTTGTGTTATTTAGTATAATATCTACATATAATGTAAAAACTTCAATAAAACAACATATTTTCGTTAATGGTTTTTTTTTTGTAGTTTTACCAATAGTATCACAATCCAGAAATCAGGATGTGGTGTCGCTAAAGCAATGGTGTGGACTACAGGTTTCTTTATAGTATTTTTATTGAAAAAGACCAAAGCTGTATAATTAAGAGCCTTATGAAGGCTTTTAAAGAATTTTTCTGTTTTAAGAAAGCAGGTAAAAAGTTTGTAGAAAAGAAAATGATAAACAGAAGTATGTATTTTAATAAAGTATACTCTAGGGTTAATTTTTTTAAATTAAAGATCTTAATTGCCATTACTGCAATACCGTTTGTTGAAATCAAAAACCAGTATCCATGCAGAATCATGCGCAATATGTATATGAATACTGTTCGTTATCTCCATATGTTTCATATCTTAGTTCAGTTTCGGTCTGTTCTATGTCTAATTAAAACAGGACCAAAACTGTAGGAGGATTTTTGAAAGAATCAAAAAGAAAATTCTATTCACGGAAACCGTGGCAATAGAGTCTGACAAATTAAATTGAAACTTGGTCAAAACGGTTGGATATTAAAGTAGGTTTTTTTTTAAAAGAAAAAAATTCTTCACTCTGACAGACAAGGCTAAGACAAAAGAAGAATGAACGCCTTATAATTACTATTGCACAAGGCATTTGGCATGCAGTAGAGCACACAGACATACCGGGTTTAGCGAGATCAAATTTCCTCCTGACACCGATACTAAAGGAGGGGGCTTCAGTGCTGGTTCGCTGTCTTGGACCGAGGAGGGGGCGTTGTGTATAGGTACTGGGTGTTGGCCACTACAAATTAAAATAATTTACTTGAAAAGAAAAGAGTGAAATTAGAATGTCTTTTTTTCAATTTCAATTTCTTTATTGTGTTAAATTCAGGTTTTTCATAGCATTCATTCATAAGTCCTCGATAATTTTTGAATGACAAATGGAAATTTCGGTAAGTAAACACAACTACATAGAAATGACTGATCGGCTAGAACGTGACAAATTATAGATTTAAAAAATTATTTGGAGGATGGTTTTCCATCCCATTTCATATTTCAAACCAGCTTCTACAGATCTGAAATGTAGCTCGAGACAATTTTAATATAAAATAGTTGTAATATACAAAGTATCTTTTTAATTTTTATTTTTGTTGATTGAAATGCAAATAAGTTCTTTTTTTTAAAAAGTAAATTGCTATAATCCCTTGCCTGTGAACTACTAAATAAATGACTTTTAAAGCAAAATCGGGACATCACTCATGTCGGTTTTAGTATTGTGAAAATTATTGTAATGCTGATAAAAGTCATGCAAAATTTCAACCTTTACAGTAACGGTAATTACTTTAATCATTTTATTTTGTAATTATAAATTCTTGAACCTAAAAAAGTCGAAAATATACAAGTACAAACCGCATTATCGGCGAAGAAATCTGTTTTCTGCTGGTAGAGGTGAGGACTCTGGAACCAGGACTTTTCCCACGAAGTTCTGCCTCCCCCACCTAAAGTGGCGAGTGTTATATAAGCATGATTGTAACTGGTTAAACAAGAACAATTTTAAGACCATATAACATCTCATTCTCTTTTTCTAAGTATATTCCACTTTTTTTCAAATTCATTCTTAATGGAAACATAACAAATCACAGTATAATTGGACTGAGTAAATTGTAGAGACTGTGAAAACGCTCATGTATTTGATCCTTCGCATCATGTCACCGATTCTTGGATCCGTCTATGATTTACAAACTGTTATAAAGTAATTATTTTTTACATTGAATGTATCTTAATTCTGTAACATGCTAAGATACAATGGAGCCTGAGAGAACCGAGCGGTACCTTTATCGGGTTGTGTTTTGGATCCAAATGACCAGGATGGAGCGTTAGTTTCATATAGAGGTTTATTCTGTGGGGAGTAAGAACAGGGCCCCGGTCCCTCCATGTCGATTCTCAGCGGGGGCCGGGCATTGCTGGCCTCATCCCATCCAATCACTTTCTTTGGTTTCTTGGGCTCTTCATAATACAGGCTGCTCATTGGTGGTCGTGGCGCTGGTTTCGTTCTGCAAGTAAATATGGCTTAAAGTTAGAATGTCCGACAAAAGTTGGTTCTTTGTACCTCTTTCTGACAGTATCCAAAGTACACATTATTTCAGACAAGTACTAGTAAATAAACTGTTTGAAACATAATAATTCGAGGAAGCTGCATGTTGTAATCGTGCTTTACAAAAATACCTTGATTTCGGGGTTGATTTATTAGAGCCATTTTTCCCCAAAGAAGATAGTCCAGTTACTGAAAAGGATTTGTTCGCAAGAACCACCTGGAAAGTTCCGTTTGTATGCATGTTTTGTTGCTTTACTTTCGTCATTGATTCGCCATTTTGATATTTGTTTTCAGAAAAGTGTGTAGAGATTTACTGTAGTTAAAGGTACACCTCGACGTGTTTTAATTAATAAATAGTCAAGGGGATTAATGCAGTGTTAAAGTGAGCAAATCGGATTTCAACTTTTTAAAAATGGATGACTCGTGCTTGATTGTAAAGGACAGAGGGGTCTCGGTTTTAGTCCTGGAGTGATGTCCGCAGGATCGTTTGAAAACGTATACAGATTCATTGTTACGGAAATTCCAAAAAAGCGGCACACAGAGTTTCATTATGATAAATCCAAACCAAATGTGACTTCGAAGTCTTTAACAGCTGTTAAATCAACTTAGATATACAGTATTGAAATTCTTTTTTGTTTTCCATTTTACTTTCAAATTTCTTTGAAACTGGACATTTTACATTAAAAACTGAAATGTAGAGTGTGTAATTCTGTGAACAAAATTTGAAATGAACTTTTTAGCTAACACGTAGCTACTTATTTTAACAACATACAGAGAAGTTGGTTGATAATTAAATTAATTCAACCTCAGTGTACAGTGGTGGATCCAGAGAAGGGGATTAGGGATTTGCAACCCCCCTTTTTGGTTTTGCTAATAAGAGACAGACACACCTCGACAAAGGGGAGAGACCCAAGGTTTTTTTTTTTTTTTGGGGGGGGGGGTAACGATGGAAAATGTTCTGTGAAGGGTTAATATCATGAATATAATAATGTATTTATAAAATCAGTTGTGAAAAGAGAAAATTGACCCAAAACAAATTAGGATTTGGGGGGGTATTTTTTTGTAAAAATTTTTGGACAAAATTTTTAGGAAATTCATTTTTTCCCTGGCTGTACCCATCCCCACTTTTATACACGAAAGTGACGGTACTACGACAGTGTGTCCTATAAAGTTGTTAGACTATATAAACGCACGTTAAAACAACCTTTTTTTTCTCATCAAGTGCCTTTGAAAATATTTTAAAAATGCGTCTGATGTATGACCATTAAAATGAAAATAAGAACATAGTGTAGCATATCTGAACTTACCTTAAGCTTCTATGGATTTGTATTGTGACGTCACAATAACGTGACGCTATACCCGTGTATGTCGCAAAAGAACCACAATAGCCCGAAAAGCCCTATGTTCTCTAGAATCGTTAGGCCTACGTTCAACTTTAAATATTACTTAAAGCAGTTAATTGTGTGGACAAATAATGGATTATTTTGTACATAAACTAACAATCAATCCTTTTGATTTTCAGGTTTATTGCAGGACAATATTGATGACACCCTCCATATAGTATAGATTGGACATTACATATAATGCAATATGCTGCCAAGTTTGATTCGAAATCTACTCACCCATCTAAAACTACTCGTATCCAGGTACTAATGTCTCCGTCACCTTCTCAAACCCCCATATACACACGGACATTTGAATATGAAAGTGTCTCGTGTAATATTACTTTCAGACAATGGAGTTTTCAATTTAATTGATAAAGATTATTCAAGGTAATTCACAAAAATCACTCATGTCTAGTCTTTAATTTTTCTAGTAATGTTTTTCTTACCTTTAAGTGTTTAACATTCAATTTAGCACATACTTTTAAAAGCTACCATACAATTATAAAAGGTATTGATCCATGCAGGGTTTCATTCAGAGTGTTTATCTAAATTGTTTTAGGAGTTGACAGTCGCTGATAATGGAAAAAATACGGCTTATTATATGCACTATTACAACAAAGACCGAGCAAAAACTTCAGAGGTGGTTTAAACGATGTTTTGTTGCACAAAACTGCAAAGTAAACCATGGGCAAGAAATTACATAAAGAGGACTTATCTGTTACTAATCTCTCCCTTTGTAAGAAGAGATGTATGAGATATATAATTGGTTTGTTAAAACGATGTCATTTGTACAAACTTTGCTTTCTATGTCTATCTGTCTATAGTTTTATTATTGCTGACTTACGAAAACAAGTATGAATTGTAAATCTGTTAATGCAATTTATACAATCTGATTTCATGTAAATTATCTTCTTTACTTGAATAATATTCAAACAATGTTATGCAATGTTCATTGTGATAAAATTGTTGCTACATGTACATATGTCTCGACGGACAAAATTCTACATATTAAGCAGTTTATCTTTTTTGTATGTTGTACGTTTGTGCATGTATTGAATGTACATGCATGTATTCGAATTTACCTATTAAAGTAGAAGGAATCATATTTGAACCAAAATAGGATACTGTCTTCCCGTAATTTTTTTATTAATAAAAATAGAAAAACCTGGTGCTTTGACTTCAGTACAGTTAAGTTTTGTATGCTACGAGCCTCATAATAACATTCTACTTATTGGATTGTAGAAATATATCTCTTTCATTAAAATTTACTTTAAAAATGATTTGTACTTGCCTTCCGTGATATTGCCAGCATCTTATTTTAACAGGGCCCAGTAACGGCGGGAACATCTAATCAGTTCATAGGAATCAAGAGGGAAATCGTAAAACTTCTATATCTACACAACAACCAGCTACAGTCAGTTGTTAAATGTTTAATAACGGGAGCTAAAACCTCTTGTTTACTTCTTTTTTATAATTCAATAATGAAGCCGACATCAGATCAATTTCCTGTTATTCAGAGGCTTGAAACGGGTAAAAATCTATATGTGTAGGGAAAATTTTTCAATGAAGCCTATTGGTTATAATCACTATTATAAATTTTGCACGACTTTGTATTTGTCATTGTGTATAAGTATTGATGCCACCATGGGAGATCAATGTAATTTAAGCATTTGTTGAAATTGTCAATGGCCATGGCTTCCTTGCGTATGACGGATGTTATTGCAAAAGGGATATGTCTTAGTGAAATCGAAACTCAAATTCTCTCTCTCTCTCTCTCTCTCTCTCTACCATGTACTAAATAACGTTATGTACAGTCAGATTTTCTCATCTCGAACTCCATTACATGTAATTCGAAGTTTCCATGTTGCTTCTACTTTGACTTACATGCTTTGGAGTAGCTGCGAAACTGTAGCTTTCCAAAAAAATATATTGACAGACCGTCGTCAATCCCAATTTTTAGCTCTACTGGTCGAAGACAAGAAGAGCTTATGCGATAGTAATGCGTCCGTCGTCCGTCCGTCTGTCTGTCTTTAAACAATTTTTCAAAATGATACTCCTCCTACAGTTTTAGTCTGATTTCAATATAACTTAGCATATAAGTAGACTGCACTAAGATACACAATTCTGTTTACTACCAGTATCGGTTTTTGATTTCAACGAACAGTGTTGCCTTGGTTATTAAAAATAAAAATTTCTGCGAAATACTTTCAAGATGCTACTCCAAATACAGTTTTAGTCTGAATATAATATTATTTGGCATGCAAGTAGACTACACTGAGATACATAATTATCAGTTATATGTTTTTGATTTTGATGAACGATGTTGTCATGATAACTTAAATTGAAAATTCTGTAAAATTTTATTAAAAGATTCTCCTACAGTTGTAGTCTTATTGTAATCTTGCCACAAAAAGATACTTAATCAAGGATCATTATTCTATTGACTGTAAAAGCACAAATATTCGTGGGGGGTGGGGTGTAAATTTCGTTGTTAACAATATTCAACGAAATTAAATCCCACATGAAATTTTATATGACTTTATATTGAATATGATTACTATGAAAACAATAAAATTAAATGCCCACGAAACAATTTTTGATGACAAGACGAAATTTTATGCCCACGAAAATGTGTGCTTCCACAGTATTGCTTTTGTAAAGTTATATGTCCCAACTGCTTCTTTTCTCTTCCTTTATCCATAAGTACAAACCAGTAGAGCTCCAGTCTTGACAGAGACTTCTGGTTATTAGTCCAGCGAGCTACAGTAGCTACACGCTCTGTAACTTGGGAGTTGATTCCATTCAAGTCATTGAGCAAACTTAATGTAAACGATTGCGTGCGCATTTCATGACGATATATATTTTGATGTGGAGTGAATTTTCTAATAATTCTTAATATATTCTATTGACATGTTCTTTTGGACTTTTGAAACAAAAAAATGTTTTCATTTCAAGTAAAGTTCATTTGACTATTTTATTTTAATTATCATATTTAGTATAACTTATATTTAGGGGGAAATTTGTTCAGGAAGATATTGACTATATTTTATACGTTGAGCCATTTCAATTTTTTTAATGTGGAAAAAAGAAGTAAACATATCTGAGAGCTACGGTTTTCAAGTATTTCCCTTAAAAAGAGTTTTGTGTCACCTGACAAATGATGTCCTTGCATGATCCACCTGTTCGTGTTTCAAAGTTTTGAGAGATTTGTTCAATTGTTGGGTATACTTACTTAGCCGATACAGTGACCGTGGTTATCCGGATGAGTTTGGTTGGAACTCGGATGTGTTTTGGAGGGGGGCTCGGCATGCTTCTGTAGTCTGCGCTGTTGGGGAAGGGAATTGGATCAAATCTACCCTTCCCTGTGGCCAACACAGATTGTTTGGCAATGTTCGATGATCTGCCGTAGTCGGAGTGAGAACGCCTTCCGTTCTTTTTAGAGGGACTCTGTGTGTTTCGTCCATTGTCTATTTTGTCGTCTCCAATATGCTTCACAGAGACACCAGTGACCGGCCGAGAAGATGCCGTCACTTCTGTCTTACCATCAATATCATTTTTTGAGGCACTGTCTTTCGGGCGTTTTGCAATGTCATGTTTAACTATGTCGTCCTCTTTGTTTTTGAGGGATCCCACCAAGTGCAGGTTTTCTTTGTCTAAAACTGTATCTTTGTATTGGAGGACTCCATCTTGGTTGAATTTAGCTTCCTTTAATTGTATGACTTCTCCTCCATTCAGCGAATCGTCGATGGTCGGTTTAGGTCCACTCAAATTACTTTCCAACGGATTCTCTACCAAAGTTGACATTCCTACATACAGAGGAAAAAGATTCCATTAAAATCGAGCTGGTATTAAATTGATATACGGTTTATTTTTAAAATCAATTTGAAAGGCTTCTGAGAGATAACCTTTAATATCCATGGGATTGTGTGATCGACCAAAAATTAAGCATGATATTATGCTTAAAACCTTGCAACTTCTATCCTTAATACTAACCCAATTCCAATTGCTTGATAGGCATTATCAAAAGATACTTTTCCTTCATTTAAAATTTAAAATCCATCTTGATTGTCGCGTCATTCTGTATAATAGTTAATGATTTTGTTCACTGAAAAAAGATTTACAATTTTCTTAACAGTTTTAAATTTCTTTTACCTCCTCGAAGGTATAAATTACGCGGACCGAATTGAACTTGGACGTCACACCCTTTTCAATATAATGAAAATGATTAATAAAAGTGCATGTATTCAATTGATTGTAAATAGAATACAATTATTGAATCGTTTGCAAGTCTTCGAGATTAGTTCATATTTCCGAAATGTGATACAGTATCTAATCAGGTACATACTAGTATTTCAATATATCAATTTCATTTACAATATTTGTTCATTTGTAAGCGCGCGAAATATGCATTCTATATTTTTAGAGTCGGGAAATCTTTTTGACAAATCTATTTAAAAGTGTATTTATTTTTCGCTTCACATTGCAGTTTTTATTGGTTTGGAAAAGATACTGACCCGTGACATAAATTGATGAATGCATGAATATATACTTCAGTTAAGAAATATTAGTAGCTCGAGAATGATTCCGTTTCATTTGTGTTCTAGAAATTTAAAATTCTCACTCATTGGAAACGCATTATACTGAAAAGACTTCATTCAAATTTGAATTTTCAAAATAAATTCCGTGAGAAAAAAATTACAAAAAACGTAGTTTCCATTTTATCAGTTTATTTAGAAACAGAGACAACTTTGACCTGTAATTTCTGTTCATGAAAGGCTTAAAACTTCTTGTCAAATGGTAAACACAATGTCATTTGATTTAAATAAATTGCAACACTTTAAACCTTTTAAAAACCCGTTCTGTAAAAACACATCTATTAGTATAGGGACTTACGGTTTTAATTTTTATTTATCGAATGCATATTAGAATTTTTACCTTACAAACGTCTTGCGATCAATTCATTTTCTCCAACTGATTAAGAAACAAAAATACTACGATGTTTGAGAAGATATTGACGCTTTTGAGACTCTCTGACTTGTATATCTCAAATCAGTCATTAATTCTGAGGACTTCGACCGAGTATATCGCCAGGTTATTGACGTTAGCAATGAAAGAATTTCATTAAAAGAGGAAATTGAGAACACGTTCCTAATATGTTTAAGAGTTTATTTTATATCAATTGAAGGCTTAAACTGTTCTAGTGTATAGCCAAAGATGTATTATAGTTGGAAATTTATAAAATGATTTACAATGAATTTTGCACGTCATTCCTTACTGGCATATATGAGGCACTTGTCAAAATTACATTGATGGTGTTAGTTTGATGAATATCGATATATGCAGTTCTAGGGCCGATATCACAATGAGGTTACATTGATATGCGATAAGATTTTAATTGGTGGCTCCAATTTATTTTAATTAGTTTTGTTTATGATTTTGTACAATTGCCAAACAACACGAGCCTGTATGATTAAAGTGATAGGTCCATGTATTTTGGGAATTTTGATAAAATCATCATAAAAGACATACATAAACTAAAACATCGCCTGAACCAAATGGAAGGGGGTATTGGATTGGGGGGGGGGGGAATCAACAGAAAAAAAACAGTTAGAGGTCTATATGAATTAAATCCCAATCTTTCTTATACTCAGATAATGGTTGTATCATCGGTATGGTTAATTATATATCATGCATATGTGTATAGCAACAAACATAAAAAAAAAAATATAAAGAAACCAGAAAACGGTGCGAGTCGTTTCTAATAATTCAGACAATAAAAACACGACCTTTAATAAAGAAAACACAACCCGCCATGATAATTTTCACTTTTTGATTGAAAATTAATGACAAAATAATATGTAACCAATATCAAATTACGCCATGGGATGCTGTATTTACTTATTTTCAAAATTGAATCACTTACCCAATCTTTAGTTTCTAAATGGTCCTTTCATGAAAGTTAGATATTTCAAAATTTATGTCACTGTCCTCGAATATTTACAACTGCATTTAAAAACAGTCCTTAATCTGATATCGGTCCATTCGCCATATTGTATCTAGTCAAGCGAACCATCTCCACGGCCCTTTTTAAGCTGTGTATCTGTCATAAAAGAAAAGGTTCCAGTCTTTATACAGGTGTTTTAAAGTTTAAATAAAGTTTAAATTCCCATGTAAAGAGACAAAAACATTACATTAAAAATACGAAGGATATCTCTCAGTAAAATGTTCAGTATTTACTTATCAGAGTAGAAAATGATTGGATTGTGATCAGTGTTTGTTCTAAATGAATATGTACTCGGTTCGTGGTGTTGTGTGTACAGACATCGATAACTTGTGATTTCAATGCATTATGCTATATATGCCAAGGCACTGGTAGATACATTAAGGGGAGACAGGGAACATGTCACATGACTAAAAAGACATATTACGTCATAATCGGTGATGATATACATGTTTTAAAACGTTGTAAAATCAACAGTTTTTGTGTAATTTTATTCTAAATTCTAAAATTGTTTTTTTTCGTGTTTAGTAGGAAAGAGTCTCTCTATTTAAATAATTTTGAATGTTTATGTTTTCGTGTGACGTCACAATTGATTTCCCGCACTCGGAAAATACAAACGTGAAGCGTTTTTATCATGTTTACGTCTAATTCAACGATGTCCTGTGCGATATTGAGGTATTAAAGCTTCACCCTGTGATATTTATGCAGTAAATAAATACGATGAAGGACTGACATTCAATCGTAAATTTAGAAATATTTATTGACAGAATTTTTTCCAAATGAGGTTTTTGTCGTTAAAGCTGCCTTGAAAAATGTAGAAATTATCCCAACTAAATACTATATAAAATTAAAACAATTGCTTTCAGATAATTTAAACACTACGAATATTCTGAAATATTTGGGTATATAGTGTTATTAATCATATTTATCGTTTGTGCCCAAAAAATTCGCATTATGGACTCCGTTATGGGTCCGTAAACATGAAGTATCTAAACTCCATACAAACTCTAAACAGGGCGGTATTTGTGGGGCGATATGTTTTAAATAAGTCAAGAAATCCCATGACAGGACCGTTTTAAAATGTTAAGAACATATTAAATTAGTAATATAAAAAATACAAAAAAAATTCATTGACAGAATTTTTTCAGCTAAAGGTCCTGTTCCTCCTTAAATATGTACAGAGTCAAGATATTAATTTAAAACGTGGAAAAAAATCTCGCCTGATTTGTTGCATCGATAAGCATATCCAACCACAAATCAGGGGAGATCATTTATACTCAGTATTCCATATCCAGTTTACTCTCTCTCTCTCTCTCTCTCTCTCAGAAATATTCATGTAATAACCGGTAAATAAATAAATTTTATGAAATATTTTGAAGTTCAGACATAGGCGTCGAGAGCAAATTGAAAGTGGGGGGGGGGGCTAATTGAAAGGGGGGCTAAACCCCAAAAAGGAAAACCCCAGTTGTCTATTTTGGCAAAAAAAATAAGAGGGGCTAAGCCCCTTCCCCATGGTTCCGACTCCCATGTCAGAAAAAGAATAGCTAGTCGAGTTAAGCACTCTCATTATACTATCAATAGCACAATTAAGTGTGCAGTTTTTTAATTACGTCACAACCCATGATGACAGCTGCGCTCCAGGTAGATAATACATTGCATCCTAACCGCAAGATTTACGACTGGAAATTTCTTCTCATCCCTGATTGGTTGCTCGTGCAACAGACTATTTCCATGTCAATGTTGATAATAAAAGAAAACCAATCACACAGTGGATTGAATTGTTTACGCTGGGCGCATCTGTCGAAAAAGACCTTGACGTAATGCAAAACGGCACACTTAACTGAAATTAATAATATCTCAATTACGTCAACTGATTTAAAAACCATTTTTCTATTGTTTCAAACTATATTTGATATTTGATTTTTATGCTGTACAGCTGTATGCTGCTTAGTTTTTTCCTGTCTATATATCTGTCTATTTGTTCGCAAAAAATTGGCTATAATAAAGCACAGGCACTTGTTTCGGAAATAAATTTTTAACCCATAGTATTATAATAACACAGGTGTGTTATTATTATACTATGAACTAAAAATTTATTTCCGAAACAAGTGCCTGTGCCATAAAGTCATAACTTTTGATTGATTGGAAGCTATGGCCTTCATATTCCACATGTGTTTAAAATGTGCAAACCCTTTCTTTGAGATACCATTAACGTATGTGATCTCTTTAGATTTTTTACCTCGGAGAGCTTTTAACCTTAGCAATAACCTTTTGTGCTAGGTCTTTCATACTTTACATGTTTATTTTTTATGCCAACACCTTTCCTTGGGTGTAAGGAATTTGGCCTTTTTGATCTCGAATTTAGAGCTTGTCAACTTTAAAAAACCATATTAACCTTGAAGTAGATTTTTAAGAATTGGGAGCAAGACTTTCACATTTTACTGGTGTATTCCTTAACTGTGACCAGACCTTTTTTGGATACCAAACATACAGTTTAGACCTTAATTTTGACCAAGACCTTTGAGGTTTATGTTTTTGAAAAACTCTCATCTTGACCATAACTTTTTAACAGTTATTGCTATATAGGGCTATTATTTTTATTTTTGTATTTTTCGTGACAAGATCGTTTTTCCTGTTTTGACCTTGGCCTTGGAGTTTGACCAACAAAAATTCTAACCTTGGACATAAGTTTTGAACAGTTGGAGCTCAGGCTTTCACATGTCAATTCTTTCTTTGGGTAATACTGGTAACACTTTCTATCTCTTAACCTTACATTTTTTTTGCAATAAGCTGTCATACGAGGGCATTTCACAAACACATCCTGTACATCTTGATCTAAAGATTGGGACTCTAGGGTTTTCACCTGTTTTAATATTTAATATTTGTCATGGTTAATAATGAGAAATGAGAATAAAAATACATGTACAACTAATTCATGGCTTGAACAGTAACAAAGAGTCAAATCTCCATTTAGAAACATCTGTTTATATTTATTCGATAATTCCTTTCCTTTCCAAGAAGACATCGTGTCATTCTTTTCATCTTCTTCAATTTGAAATTGGGGCTGGTGAGGGATTTAATTTGTAGTTTAACATTCATTTATTCTTCATATTCTTCTTCCTTTAAAGTACTGAGCCATATTTATGTTAACTAATAGCGGGCATCATCGCACAGAAAACTAATAGAATTACAATTTTAAATGGGACTGACACATGCATGGTGCGCACATTTTCACTAAAAGATCCAGTCTGAATTCATGAATCATTTCCCAAAACTGTTTTTTAAAAAAATCAAAACCTATTTCTAAAACGCTTTCTGTTGTCTAAAACACGCTTATCTTGATTGATCAATCCATGAAAGCCTTTATTAGCTTTCTTTGGTCATAGCAGAGACATGCGTACATACCGTATGTTTATAACATCGGGCTCAAAATGCACAAAATACTGAAAACTACGTTTTCGTTCGAATGATCTCGGGGATTTTTCGTTTCGGAGGTTTTCATAATGTATGTATCAGATTCCAGCATATTTCCTCAAGCTGGACTAAGAGTTAGAATAACTAGCATGAGTGGACAAGATTTCTTGACAGAGTTGAAGGCGGATATGAAGATAGATGAATTGAAGATTATATCTTTAAATCATTTTTCAAGTCCTGCTGACAGTATGAAGAAATCCTTATACCATCGAATTTTGCTAGTGCGCACAGGAAAGGTTTTGTCAGAAGAAAAGACGGTATTTGAGGAGGGATTACAAAACAATGGTTAATATCGACAATGGTTAATTTATATAACCCAAAAGCATATAGTAGTATAATTATGCATAATGCAGATCTTATCATATTTTGTTCTCTATACATGTAAATGTTGCTCTATTGTTTATTGTTAAGACATTATGCATATATATATATATATATACTGTATATGATTTCTGCAAAAACTGTTTAGAACTGAGTTAGAAAATAGTATTGTGGTATTTTAGATGAACTATTACTACTCAAGAAAAGATTACCAGCCATGAACTTTGACACGAAAGATCGAACATCAAATGTAAGTTATTTACATTTTACAAGAAATAATTTGAAACATTGCAAAAAGAGAAATATTTATTGATAACAACCTATTTTTGTATGCAGGTGAAGGATGATTCTAAGAAGATCCCCACAGAAGATATAATCAACAAACTGACATCAACACTACCCAAAGCACAGACAGTCAAACTACCAGAACAAGCATCAGTTACAGTGGATGTAAGGAATCTGTTAAATGTTTTCTGTACTTGTGTATTATCATTAGAAAATAACTGGTGAATTATTTGATTGAAATAACGATTCAATGATGTGACCATCGGAGTAGTGCACTTGTGTATTATTTGCTTAAAAACTTCAATCTGTATGAGATATTTGGAAGAACTAAACTCAACTGTTATGTCAAAGGAAGTCAAAATGTCAGTTGCATTTCTGTCACCATGGTTGGTGTTTCTGGGCAGGGATTATAAAAATCAACATGGAATATCTTGTATTTTAGATCCATAATTTAATTTTTTTTCGACATACAACTGATTTAAGAATTTTGCTCTAGTTTGTTGGGTATGCTAGGGTTTGCTCTAGTTTGTTGGGTATGCTAGGATTTGCTCTAGTTTGTTGGGTATGCTAGGGTTTGCTCTAGTTTGTTGGGTATGCTAGGATTTGCTCTAGTTTGTTGGGTATGCTAGGGTTTGCTCTAGTTTGTTGGGTATGCTAGGGTTTACTCTAGTTTGTTGGGTATGCTAGGGTTTGCTCTAGTTTGTTGGGTATGCTAGGGACATAACAGTTGAAAGCATGGGATAATGAATGCATACTAGGTTTCACACATATTGCAAGTCATATCCTACACATCCAACTGCTACTAATATTCTGGCATACCCAACAATCTAGACATGCCATGGATTCCTTTCATCAGTGAATTAAATCCTTAGTTAAAGAAATGTTCACAAGGTTATATACATGTACGGTATATCTTAAATATATTGAAATGATGAATTGAAGTCATCATGATCATAAACTGGCAAAATTTTATCTCTGTGAAACAAAAACATTTGCTTCTACAATATTATTTTTGTTTTAGTTTCAGACAGAGCTAAGAAAAATACTAATCTCCCTAATAGAGGCATCACAGAAAATTTTGAGTCTGAATCCAGAAGCATCCAAAATATTCACACAAGCTGAAGGTTTATTAGTTTGTTACATTTTTGTATATAAGGAGATTGATCATCATTTTGTAGATATCTCTCAAAAGAGTATGTATGAAATAAATGTGAGAAACTTCTAAGCAGTGCACTTTTAGTTTGAGGAAGGATTTGAAGTACTTTCCTAGGAAAAATGAGATAAGAGATGAAAACTCAAATTGTAAATCCTATAAAGTTGTTTAAAATATTGGGAATAGCTTTCATTTTAGCAACTCAGTAATTTAAAGGTAATTGCAGGAGAAATGCATAATTCCACAATTAACAAATGTGATATATAAATTATAGGGATGTCAAATCGGTCAATTTTTGATACTCGGTTACTCGGACGTTTTTCCGATCGAGTACCCGGGTACTCGGTAAAAGTGTAAATAAATATGAACAAGTTAATTGATAACTGTAAAACATTGTAAACTCTTGTAGAAATAAAACCGATGGGAGGTTACCTGCAAATGCGTTGTAACAATTATGACCATTTTGTAACCGACGAAATTTAATCGAACATTTTTTAAGTTCAATTTATTTATCAGATAAATATGGGAAATAAAATCATAAATGGTTCACAGTGTTTTTGTTTAAAAAATGAAGTAATTTGTTCCGTAATTGTAATGTAACTCTTAGGTGCGTTTGATGTCCAAGTGATAAGTGTCTGAGCTATATGTACGGTATAAACTTGATAAGTTATCCTATAACAGAGCGGATTTATACGATCTTCGTACACTTTTTGATCCTAGATTTCATAGAATTACGATACGGTATGTTGTAGTTTGGAGCAACGATGGACATAAGATTTTTAAAGCATTTGCCTTCAACCATTTGCATTAATTGGCATGTAATCAAATGCATCCAAATCAACAATCGCACGTGCAATAACGTCTTTGAATTTACGGCTTCTTGGAGAATTGACAAAATTATTTAATTTGTTTAAATATAATGGACCTTAAACGATGTTCAATGAAAACAAATAATTAAAGCAAACTAAATATAAGGGAAGTCGACAGTCGAAGGTGAGAAAAGCCCGGGTAGGTACATCAGGTGTTTGGTCACAAAAAATTACTGTATAAACACTGCCACAGGCGATAACGGTCATTTAGAGTATCGCAAGAGAGAGCATAGGAAACCCTAATTACTGTATGTACAAGTGCAATGAACATTTTACGTTTTAAAACCGATGTTTTAATGCATTAATAAATAAGCTTAGAAATATTTAAAAATATACATCCGAGTAACCGAGTACCGATTTTAGTATTAAAAATATACCGGTATATTTGCATATCCACTGCTCTCTCCCACTATGAACATGTAGTCTTCGATGACATCCCTAATAAATTATAATACATTTTGCTGAGACATTTTTGTCTTTTCTAATGTAAGAAAAACTATTTTGATTTTTTTTCTCAGAGATGTTGAAAGAACCAGTCCCAGAACAGGAGATTGATGCTACAGCATTAAAACAGCTGTGTGACATGGGATTTCCTGAAAACAGGGCCAAGAAAGCTCTGCTTCTCAATGAGTAAATATATGTTTTAGTGTTCTCTAATCCTTATCATCCCCTCACAGCAGAGTTGAAGGGGATATAGTAATGCAGTTAAGTGTGTTCATTAGTGCTGTTTGAAACAGAAGTGAAGTAATTTGCTTCGGGATTGATGTCAAATGCCATTTTGATTTATAAGTGTGCTCCCTGCGAGGAAGATGCTCTGCTTTGTGGTGTCCTTGTTAATAAAATAATCATTCTGTAGAATTCATTTAAATGAAAGCCTTACAATAACTATCGGTAAAGAATTGGATCATCTCAGGTACCGGTACTAAAGAAATAATATTTGGGCATTTGTTTATAGTATGTCTGTGATGTCTTCAATGGAGTGGCTCATCCAACATGAGTCAGATGTAGATGTAGATGAACCTCTACCTGGAAGCTCAATCAATAAGGTAAATAGAAAAGTCCCAGTCTTTATATACTGCATTACATGGATTTTAAATGTCCCTGGTGCCAGGTCTTGTTCAATTTGTTAGAAGTGGCATACAAGAAATCAAGACTTTGTACCTTTTATTTCATTAAATGAAGAGAGTTAGTACAAGAAATCAAAACAAAAAGAATTAAGAAGGACCGCTTAATTACCGGTATTGAATTTTTTTTCTTTGTAAAGGAGGAGGGTGCTGTTGGTGGAAAAGAGGAGAAAACTTCTGTCACAAAAAATGGGCATCAAACCACCAACATACTGCAGTCACTGAGGGAGTATCGCAAGAGAGAGTTCAAACCAAACCACAAGGTATACGGGAAAGAATTGACCAGTTGTGTTATAGATCTAATAATTACGAAATGCATGTTGAATGCCTTCAGGTTGAAAGGGAAAAAATTGCAAATGATTCAAAAGTCAGACATCAGAAAGTATTTGTATTGAAAATGTACCGGTATGAGTGTACCAGTACATACATTTATATCTATTTGTACAGATAGTTTTGTCCCTTGCTTGCAACAATATTTTTCATTAACAGATATTACAAAACCTTGTTGAGATGGGATTTGATGAAAAAGATGCCTTGGATGCCCTGCGTATCAGCAGAAACAATCAAAACGATGCAGTAAGTTTTTTTTCTTTTGATTAATTAAAAGGTGTCCGATTTCACAAGTCTTTAACTGATAAGAATAAAGTATAAAAGCAATTTTTAAGGATTTTGTGAGTTTAATTAAAGTGCCTACTTCAAGACATAACTTTTGATGTGTTGACTTTGTTGCTATGGATATTTTCCAGTGTGAGTGGTTATTGGGCGACAGGAAATCACAACCCCAGGACCTGGATGAGGGTCTGGATACAAATGGTGCTGTGTACAAAGCCATCATGGCAAACCCACAAGTGCAATTAGGTCTTAACAACCCTAGGTGTCTATTAGGTATGGATGTCAAAATCTAATAATTGTTTTGTACTCTATTTCATTTGAAATTTTAAAAAATATTGCTTAATTAATACAGAAGTATTTAAGTCATTTTGGTGATGCATTAGCAACATTTAAAGACTATTTCAAATAACTATTAGTTTACATTTACATGTAAAACAAAAACAATTCATCTTGGACATGAATAGGTAATGCAAACGCAAGTGTTAAAATATATTGGAAAAGTGTATTAATGTGTAACATTGTTAATTATACAGCTTATTTTTTTTAGGATATTTGATTGAAATTTTAACAATTTGTGAATTTTGAGTAGATATTGAAAATAATACATGTTTTGTTCTTGTGTCTTGCAGGAAGTACCAGGTTTAGCTTAATATGTTGTCAATATGCTTTTTTTTTTTACCTATTTCTGAATATATAGCCTTGAAATTAATTTATTTCAAATGAATTACCTAATTCTCTCGGAAATGATAAGGATAAGGTAAATAAATACACCTTTTAGAGGCATGCTATATATGGAAAACTTAAAAATTGTATTATGTTTTATTTTTTTCAGCCTTTTTACAGATGCTTGACAGTCCTCTGGCAGCACAACAGTGGTTGTCTGATCCTGATACTGGTCCACTTTTGGTGCAGGTGTCCAGGATTTATCATGCAGAAAAGCATGCAGAGTTATAATTTGACTTCACAATGAATATTTGATCAGAATCCAGCCAAAAAGTGTTTTGTACAATAGGTCACTTGAATCACTAGGGTGATCTATTGCAAAATGTTCCCATCTGTTATCATTATTTTTGACTTTCAGCTTCTTTTAAGACTCCCCCCCTCCCCTTGGGCTTGAGGAGTGATACAAATCCTTCAAAATAAGAATTATTTTTTATTACTAGAATTTGAAGGAGATAAAATGATTGCATGTGTAAAATGGGCACAAGTAGGCTTTTAGTTTGTTTCTTGGGTTATAGAAGCAAATGACACACCTTCTTCTACAGTGTAATCTACACAAAAGTTGGATTTGATGAAAAGTATGCATAAACCTACATGTAGGATGCACTGGGGACATGGGGTCAAAAAAGGCCTGGCTTCTGAACTTCATACCTTACATGATAGATTAGAAATTAGTGTGTGGTTTTCTAATGTGTATATATAATGGTCAAACAATGGATTCAAGTTAATTTTGTGGACAAAATCAAGAGGGAGAAGTATAATTATATGGTAGAATAACTTAGAACAGAGAAACTTGTGCAGCTTGATATAAGTGTGGAAGCTGTATGAAGCAAGTATCTGAGAAAAATTGTGTTATGATACTCGAATGAGAGTATAGTATTAAAGGACCCATGGGTCCTTTGTCATATTATCCTTGAACAGCTGTGATATTGTCTGTAAAAAAACATTATATTTTATGCAACCCTTTGTGCTTTATAATGTTAGATGTTGTTCTTGTGTTAACCTGCTGATTGTTAATTTTTTATAGAGAAAATGTTTAATAAATTATTAGTGTTTCAAAATGAATGTTATTAAATTTTGATTGAAAAAAGGAAATGCTCTGATAAGGAAACTATGAAATGCAGTCATGTATTCAAGTTGAATGATTTCATCATCAGTGTTTAGATGGAGTATAGCTGTAGAACTGTAGCATTATGGTTATATATATTTGTCTTTGACCATAACCATTAACGCTACAGCTCCCTTAATGCAAAAAAGGTGCAATTTACGGCGCAATGTTTTTTGAGCACTTTTGGGGAGAATTTTTCCACTTTCCAACATCAGTCAATTAACTACCTTTCAAATATTTCAAATTTTATTAGAAGATGGATGTATAAGGTGGGCAGAATGCCTCAACTGTGACAAACTTGAAGTGAAAAAAAAATGCAGTTACAGTGTATATCAAAGTTTTCTGTGATATTTCATCTAACACTAAAGTATACTTTATTTAAAATATCTACAAATTACAGAAATCGCTTTAAGACTGGGATTATTTGCCGATGATATAGCATGTACACAGTAAAGAGGACAAAAAGGATCATTTTCTCATAACTTTAACATTTTCCGATAGGACTAGGTCTTTGCTTCATTTTTTTTAAAGTGAATCTTAAAGTTTGCATAATTATATACATTTTCGCCTATAAAAAGATGGAGCCATGACCCACTATGTATACATCAAAAGTACACTAAAATAATGATGAAACATTCGCTTATTCAAATTTCGTCAACCGCGTGGCGCAGTGGTTAGAGCGTCTGCTCTAGAGTCGCGAAGTAAGGAGTTGATCTTTAGGCCGGGGGTTCGAATCCCACCGTGGGACATGGAGACCGGTCCTTCGGATGAGACCGTATAAAAATAGGACCCGTGTCGCAGCAGGTGTTGGCACCTAAAAGATCCCTTCCTGCTCATTGGCCCTAAGTGCCGAGTGTAGGAGAAAATTTCCAGCTCTCCACCGGCAAAGGGTAGCATCTTCATATTTAAGTGAAAAATTCTCGAGAGGGACGTTAAACATAATGCAATCAATAGTATAGTTTATTAAATTTCAATAAAGAAAACTTCACCTTGAATACTTAATTCACAAAGTGAATATCATTTTATTAATATCTGAAGCTATGGACATTCTGCACGCCTTGCTCACACATCCTTTTAATATATCTTAATTTACACTCTGACATCAGTCATTTTTTTCCCTGAAAAAAGATGTGGAAATTGAAGAACAATAGTGAAATGGAAAAAAGAGCACCTATATTCTTTTGTTTTAAAGCAGGTAAAGGAATGAAAAAAAAAGAAGAAGACTAAAGCAATATAGCAAATACACATGCAGAGATTTAAAATGAACCCACTTAATTTATACAGAACTCCATTTAGGACTAGCTGCAGAACCGTAGCGTTATAATTTTATATTTTAGTCTTTGACCATAATGCTACAGATCCCCTAATATCGCCTTAACTAGCTTGTTTTGAATTATCTGCCATCATACCAAAAACAAAAAAAAAAAAAAAGATTGAGCTCATAATATAGGCATTGGAAATTGCGGTTTAGGCTTTTTTTGTTGGTTTAGCCACCCCCCTTTCAATTTGCTTCCAACGCCCATGGTTCTGCAGCAAGGACCTTTCAAAAATATGTTTGAAATCAAGATAACGAATGTTGAATTTTTTATACATAATGCATTTTAAACTCCTAGTTAAATCAATTTCCCTGATTTGTTTATAATGTAATCAGTTATAATAGATTTGCTGAATTTGTTATAAAGAATGCGAAAGTTTGTTATAACAAATCAAACGCGTTTGAAGGAATTCTATAGCTTTTTTAACGAATTAAACTGAATTGTTGCAACAAATTCTTTCGTAAATTTGTTAATTCTCAACTATGAATTTAACAAATATGCAATAACAAAAACAAATAATACAATTTGAAAGAATATGTACCATATCAGATTTGATATAACAAATTATCTATTTTATCCATTTATATCAAATCCAATTTTTGATGTAAACATGAAGATCCTAAATGAACTTCTGTCGGTTTCGGAACATTTTTTTTTATGTAAGTTGATTCTTTTGGCTCAGAAACGACACATATTTCAGAAACAAATTAAAGAAAACAAAAAATTTTATAACAAATCAAACGCTTGTTTAAGGAATTTTATAACTATTAATATATAGTAATTAAACTGAATCACTGTATGAAACAAGCGCCTGTGGTTAGGCTCTCTGGATGGGAAATTTAAAACAAGTTAATTCCCACATGAGTCCCACAGAAAAATATGAATTTAACAGGAAATAAGACATTTCATTGATATTTAATAACATATATATTTATAGATTATCATTGTTTAGATATATTTTGAATAAAATTTTATCACAAAAAATGTTTTTGATGCCGGTTACAGCAGTGATATAACAAATTAGCTTTTTTTAGTCCACTTTATATCAAAGTTTCTTTCTTGTTTTGTAATGGTTTATGGTTTGATATATCCATCATGTTTGTTCCTTAAATGTAATAAATGCCATTATAAGAAAAGTTAAATACTTGTAATCGTTTTCTTATTTGCAACATAATGCTGTACATAATAAATGATAAAGCATAGAATATTTTTTTTAATTCTGCACGTGATCATTACAATGATTCAGAAACAAATTAAAGAAAACAAAAAATTAAAGGACATGTCAGGCTTTCTGGATAGCCAACTTGACCATTATTTTTTTAAGAGTCGCGTTCGTGAAACGAAAAATTCCGAAATCAAGCCTCGTTTTGAACACTTCATTTCATTGGACGGTTTATGCAGAGAGTCGCGGTAAGTTTGAAGAATTAGAACAAAAACTCAAAGATTTTGTTAAATTTAGATTATTTTATCTGTTTTTTATTGAAAACTGACGGCAATGCATTAATTGACATCAGTTCTGTGTGCCTTTTGTTTTTGAAAAGATGTTATTCGTTGGTCACACAGTATTTTCATTGAATTGCGAAGCTTATTTTTAACGCATAGATCTTGATTTAAGTTGATTATGCTTTATATTTATAATAATAGTAATCGGGCGTACATTTATAGGATGAGGTAAGCACTTTCAACATGTCGGAGGGAAAAGTTATCCCGGTAAGGGTCGCTGTACGTGCCCGTCCACTCATCCCAAAAGAGACGAATGAGGGATGTCAGGTTTGTGTCGGTTTTACTCCTGACGAGCCACAGATTATCCTTGGAAAGGACAAAGCCTTTACATACGATTATGTATTCAACCCATCACAAAGCCAACCATTCGTATACCAGGAATCAGTATTCCCACTCATTAAACATATATTCAAAGGTACGTTTAAAATATTTAATGTGTAAACAGTCTAGACAAACTCCAAAAATGGCGTGAACTCCTTGGCTCCGTCATGCATAGCGGCAAAATGATGCCCTATGTTAACAAACGATGGATTGTTGTTCGCTTTCTCCTCAAATACGACCAATTAACAGGCCGTATTTAGTAAACTATATATATAGCTTTAAATAGCAATTTTTGTTAAGCTAAAAATTGCTTTATTTAGCTATTTATATGGTTATTGAAAATGTTTTTTGCTGAAAATAAACAAAAAGTCGCATGTATTTGACTCTTCATATTTGTAATATGGGCTATCAAAACAATGACCAAAATCAAAGAAAGTTCTAACTTTGCAGCTTTTGAATACTTTTAAGCAAAAAGAGAATTTCTATTGTAAGACTAACTATCCACTACCTTCGGTGCCTTGAGGCAAGAAAGGATGATTGCTTTCATTGTGCCAACTGTTAAATTTAAATTGTTATTTGTTTTATAATAAAAAGTAACTGTATCAATTGCTTTATATAGCCCCAAAACTTGTAAAACTTTGAGATACAAAGTTTCGTTTGATGGTGATTTTTACATGCATTAATTTAAAAAGGGTGATTTTGTATATCGTCACTGCACCAAATTGCTTTAGTTTACAGTTCTAAAAATACCTTTAGATTAAAATTTATGTAAAATAGTGATAAGCTATACTGAATAGCTTAATAAAGCTTTATAGCTATTTAAAGCTATATTTTTAAATCAAGAGAAATGGCAAAAGGGCTGTATTTAGTAAACTGTGAGTGGATTTCAATTTTTGTTGAATAAATAATTGCACTTATTTAGCTATTTAGTGGTTATTGACTTATGTATCACCTCGTATTCTCGCATAATAGTGATTTTGGATATACGGCATAGAATTCATTACAATCAGAAAAATTAACTTCTTAACTTATTTATTGTCTCCTTGATTTAAATTTCATGCCATTCCCAAAATAAAGATGCTTAGATTTTACTTCCAAGAAATTTAAATCGTATTTGTTTTATGAAAAAAAAAAAATTCACAAAAAAAGATACTAATAAAGAATTTTTCTTTACCGTGATTTAAAAAGGGGGATTTTTTAAAGTTCTCAAGTTGATAGTTTACAGTTCTAAAAATGTTTAGATGATAATTTATGTTCATATGTGATGATAAGTAGGTAAATAATGGTGGTGATAACTCTCAATTCAGATGTCGTACAGGATTACAATATATATATATGACGAAATTATATTATGAATGGGTAACACTCAGTCAATATTTAACAGTTACAACATATACCTGTATTATTCAATTTTACATATTTTTTCCCTTTTATCATGCGTATTTACTTGCCAAACGTTTAATTTTCTCTGTAATTGATCTAACTTGAAATATGAACTTTGAAAGTGAATATCTCTCCTTTTGCAAATAAAATCGAAAATCTAACAAATACGATCTATTCAGATGTCTTTTATGTACCATATCAAAGTATTGGTATAATTGCCACACTTTCTAAAACTTTGCATGGACAGTTGTTGTAAACCTATAAAAATTGATATTTTTATGTACCTGCGCATGCACAGACTCTTTTTTCGGAGCCCTTTTCAGTCCCAGTTTCTTACTTCTGTTAACTTCGTTTTTGGAGTTCGTCTAGATAATGACAGCTTCTTGTTTCTTAATATAGCTAAGTAGATCCAACATTTTTTCCTCTCCATATTTTGCAAGAATATAGTGCTGACTTTAATCTGTTGAAACCAGTAATGCATGTTTGTATCCTTTCCACTCGGGGAGCATTTATTCTAAGGCTGGGCAAAAATATCGATATTTCAATATATTGCAATACAATGACAAAAAATATCGTATAGCATCGAATTTGTAATACGATATACAATATGCTTAGATTAGAATTTTGTCTTTAAATATATACATGGACTTATGAAAGTTTGTAATTAAGCCAAACAGTAAGACAGAAGTTGTTTTGTGGAATCATTTGCATCAATGAAATCAACAAGATTTTTTTCTCCGTGTTTGTTTTATCATAGTTATGTACATTTTGCATTATAAAATATAAATTAAAGTAAATATAGTAAGAAAATGCCATTTTAATTACATTGAAAATATTGTTATCGCAATACAGTTAAAAATATCGATAAACAGCATTTTTTCATTTATATCACACTGGTTGCATTGGTTATTTTTACAATTATATGATTCAATGAGTTATTTTTGCTTACAGTGGGTACACATATATTGATCTACCAATTTCTTGTGTCATGGGGGTTTTCATGACTTTTTTCATGGTTGAAGTAATCTTTATAATCTTTGACTAATTATGCTTAAAATTTGCTCTTGCAGGATACAATGCTACTGTATTAGCTTATGGACAGACAGGAAGTGGTAAGACATTTACCATGGGAGGATGCTATGAGGCATCACTTAATGAAGATGAAGTAGAGATGGGGATTATTCCCAGAGTAATACGAGAGCTATTTAATGGCATCACAGACAGACCTGATTCTGAGTTTACAGTGAAAGTTTCATACCTAGAGGTGGGCTTTTTTTTTCTTCAGAAAATACAATTCACACCAGAAGTATAGAGTATACATCTTAAATTAAGAAGTGGTATATACATATTAACTTCAATAGGTTTGAATCAACAGATTTCATTTTATATGTATTTAATGTACTCTGATCTTTTTTTCTCTAGCATATTCAGCAGTGCAAATTGAATTGAAAAGGGGGATATTTGATATTGTATGAGCTACATTGGTTTTTGAAATTGCAGATCCATAATGAAGATATAAATGATCTACTGTGCCCACCTGCTAAACGTGAACCATTAGCCATAAGGGAGGATGTGAATGGACAGATAAAGGTATTTTAAATATTATTGTAATGACTTTACAGAGTATTTTTTAGGGGGAAAAGATATCAAGGTATTACATGGTTATTTGGGTAAAGTGGTTGAGCAAGACTCCTACAGGTTTTTAGCCACTCTCTCAATGATAAAAGAATTAATGATTTTTATTTATTTTGTAGCTACCAGGTTTGTCTGAGGTGGTAGTGGAAAGCTTTGAAGAAACCATGAACTGTTTACAAAGTGGTTCAAGTGGACGAACAACAGGTTCAACAGCCATGAACACACATTCAAGTCGTTCCCATGCAATTTTCACAATTCAAATTGAGCAGAAGAAAAGGCAAGATATGTAAGTAATATTTGTATTTAGTAGTCTTTCATGCATTGCAAAAGAAACATATTATAACTGATGACCATTAACCTATATGAATACAATTTCTACAATAGACTGTGTCAGATAAGATTTGTAGATAATTTATAATTACTTTTAAAAATGCATGCATTTAAATGTAATTGCAGTATAAGTCATATTTTGTACCATATTGTTTTTTAGGGATGATGTTTGTAAGTGTAAGTTTCACTTAGTTGATCTGGCTGGATCAGAGAGGGCCAAGAGGACACAGGCAGTAGGGGAGAGGTTTAAGGAGGGCGTCAACATTAACAAGGGATTGCTGTCACTAGGAAATGTCATCAGTGCTCTAGGAGAGGAGAGTCAGGCCAGGAATCACATTCCTTACCGAGATAGCAAGCTGACAAGGTTACTGCAAGGTATGTGCATACTAGTATTGTATGAGCATCTCAGTATTTCTAATTAGTGACACATGGATAGACGGGGAACTAGAATTACAATTATTAAATTTTTTACAAGGTATTAGATTTTTAAAAATGAAAATTGCAGTGTTATTGTTACAGTGAAAAAATAACATTGTTTGTTTTTATTCAGAATATATATAAATTCATTTTTTCAAAATGCATATGCATGTATGTTTTTCCAATACATGTATTATTAATGTACATATCTTATTAATATTCCTGTACGTCTTACAATATTACCGGTATTTACTAGTATATGTGTGCATAAGTATATGTCAGTATTTTGTGTAATTGTTCTTCTAGACTCGTTGGGAGGAAACAGTTATACTCTAATGATTGCCTGTGTGAGCCCCGCTGACTCTAACATGGAGGAAACCCTAAACACATTGAGATACGCTGACCGAGCAAGGAAAATCAAAAATAAACCTATTGTCAACAGAGATCCTCAGGCTGCTGAGATATACCGCCTTAAACAGCTGGTGGGTGTCTGAGATATTTGACACATATAAGGGGAGATCAAAATGATCTGTCATATAAAAAAAAAACAACATGCAAGTTTTTATTTTTACAAAAAAAAAATAATGCACATGGGGGATTAAATATTTTTGAAATTTTATATGACTAAAATGAGAAGGATTACTTTCAAAACAAATATTAAATCCCCACGACTATTTTTGATGATAGCCCAAGAAAAAATCAGTGGAGAGGGAAGGGCATGGTGGTCATCCGTCAACAAGTTTGAGTATGTGTTAGTAATAAAACATGTAAATATAAATAATTTGTATGATCTCTTAATTTTACAGGTGCAACAGCTCCAAGTACAACTTGTCAATACTGGTGGAGGCGTATCATTAATGTAAGTGTTTTAAAGATTTGCATTTTAATTGTATTAAAATAAAATAAATTATAATTATATTTTTGTGTTACTTGCCTCCAATTTGCATGTAATACATGATGTGAGAGATAAGATTCTCATGATAAATATGACAGAAAAAATATAGATAAAGCAATTCCAGTTGATATTTATTTTAAAGGTATGGGAGGTATTAAAGGGAGATAAAAGTTTCTCTTGTTTCTAGATGGTTATGAGTGAGTAATGACATATGATTTAATTCAAATTAGTAAATTCATGGAATGACCCCCCCCCCCCCCTAAAAAAACAAGGATAAGACAAGACATTAATTGTGATTCCTTTGGTAGGCACTTTCATTATTTTTTCTAAATTACTAAATTGTTGTTTGATTGATAATTTTTTTTTTATCATATTGTAGGAGTATTGACACAACATCTTCCTCATCTTCATCTGAAGATCTCAAATCAATTGCAGAGAAGAACAAACAGTTGGAGGTAATAAAAGCATAATAATGTTTTGGGAATAATTTTTTAACTCCACACTTGAAAAAAAAAGGTTTTCATCAGATCCACCAGAAAGTAGTTAAGAGATTGGGCAATTTAAATTGATTGCTAATACATACAATGTACATAAAACAAGATTCATTCAAGCACTGTTACAATTGAAATTAATAATAGCTGTCCCTTTCTGCTAAAACCCTACTAATCCAATTTTAAATTCATATTCAGATATTAACTAGAATTAATTTTCAAATATTTTTTTACATCCTTAATGTATATACCTCTTTACCCAGGAAGAGAATAGCAAGCTTTCTCGTGAGCTGCAGAGGGCTGTAGATCAGAGCACCAACATGTGTGAGAAGGCTATCAGGCTGGAACTAAAGTGTGAGAAATTAAAGACCAAGCTAGACAAGCTCAAGTCAGACACAAAGTAAGCTATCATTTAAGTCACAAGAAAATTTTAAGGACACTACGTTAAGGTCAAAGGAAAAAAAAATTATCATTTAAATTTTTGAAGTGTAAAACTTGTCTAATCCATACACCACTGATTCCAATGATATTGGCCAGATTTAATAGACTTTTTTTTTTTAATTTACATTTAAACTTTTGATCATATAAGATAAGATTTTGGAATACACAATGTCTGGATTTTTCAAATTTCACCTTATTTTCTTATGACTCGAAAATGTTAGCCTTTAACTTTATTTGGACAACAATGTTTCTCTAAAATGTAAGGCTGTTACTTTACAGGATAGATCTTGAAGTTCTTGGTACCAGTATCAATGCAGAGCAAAACCCAGAGGCACAAGAACAAATAGAGAGAATACGAACATTGACAGTCAGCATACATCAAGAGGAGGTACTTTATCAAACATTTTTATTCTTATACCCCAACAAAATCTAGGGAGGTATATATTTATTGGAATCACCACATCCATCTGTTGTAAACATATAATTTCTGGAGCTTAATTAGATCTGAAATTACATATGTTTAATATTTTTGTGTCCTATTTGAATATAAGCACTGCATGTAGTGTTTATATCGTTCATCTTTCATTCTGTCCTAACATCTGTCTGATACACTTAACTTTTTAATCTTGATCCTCCAAGTGACTGTAACCTTACTATTTCCATTATTGGTTTTTAATATTTTAGCAAGAAGAGGGGTCACTATCAATTGTTGAAGAAGAGGAAGAGGTATATTTACATTATCAAAAGACATTTAATGCATTATTAATAAGAGCAAAATCTCTTATTTACTTTTTCAATTGTTTCATAAATGGTGCAACACTTCTTTTTACATGAGAAAGTACAAATTAAAAAATAAATATCAGACTATTGCCTAGATTGAAAACTACATGAAAAATTAATGTACTTGACTGTGTACGGACTTGTCAGATATTGTTTAATTCATATGTAAATACATGTACTTCTGTAGGAAAATGAAAATGATAATCCTCCTGAAACCCCTGACAGCCGAGCTCGCTCTAAAGAGTTCACTCTCCGCCAGGCCAAAATGAATAGGGAACTTCAGGAGCTAAATAGATTACTGGAGACAAAGGAAACCCTGGCTACCAAAATGACGTTAAACGATGACCAGATGAAGTCAATCCGTGAACAACACGAAGTGAGTGTTTGAATGTTATTACTAGATAGTTTATCAGATATGCTGTACTGTAGATTTTTTTGATACAAAGTGTTGTAAAAGAGTTTGCTAAAACAAAAACAAAAAAATTATTATGTCCATGTTGATTAACACAAAAACAATTTTACACAGAGTTTTATAATAACTTGCACAATGAACACATACCAGAAATCGGATTGATAATTTGTTTTTCAGTCCCAGATGAAAGAGTTAGAGCATCAATTAACTTTAGCACAAAAACAAAAGGAAGAAATGCAACAGGCTTTAGATGATGCCAAGAGTAATGCAAATGCAAACAGGTACACTAATGTATTGGAATTTTTGTATTTAATATCAAACTTTCAGAATTTTGGTTTCTTTACCATAACCATTATTGTTGAAACATAACAAAAATACTGCTCTTGGGAAATGAGTACAATTTGTCAAATTAAGAAAATTTAGGCTATCTAAATTTAATTCCCTGGTTCTCAGGCCAATTTTCTCCAAAACAGATGCGGGAGGGCGGCATTTTATTTTTCATTTTATTGGCAATAAAGTAGATGAGGGAGGTATTTTTTTTTATTTTAATTTCTGAATTTTCTTTAACATCAAGATAATTTTTTTAATCACAGATATACTTTCCACTTCTGGTCAAAATTTCTGCTTTATCCATTGCTTAACAGCGTGTAAACATCGTAGGTAATGTCCTCGAATGTATTTTCAAACAAAGTAGCCAAAATCTCATTGTAAATGGCTACCGGAAGTGATATTTGAATACTAAACTACAAAACAAATGAGGTCGGAATTTTTTTTCCCGGATTGGTCTCCGCAATACCAACTTTTTATTTTATCAAAAATACAATAAAATCGGCAATGCGGCTACCTCAAAACGGATGCGCGCGGGCCTGAGAACCAAGATTTCGATTTTATATGGCCTTAATTGAATGCATTGAACATTGACAGAGTTGCTGAACAGAGAAGATTGCGCTTGAAAGAGTTGGAACAGCAAATTTCTCAGCTACGCAAAAAGATGACGGAACAGGAAAAAATGCTAAAAATGAAAGACCAGAGAGACAAAAGTGTCTCCAATCTCCAGGGTGAAATACAGGTAAATACTAGACTGGTACAAACGTTTAAGTTTTAAAAGAAATTTTTTTTTCAAAAGCAGACTAATTAGGTGATCTCCAGTCAAAAGAATCTCAACAGGTGCAATTAAAATTCACAAAGTTTTGACACTACTCAAGAAAATAAATATTCCTTAAAGGCTATACCCGAAGATAGGAATCTTTTCTTTTATACTTATAACATAACCTTGAGAAAAATATTTCCTGAAAAGTATTAAACATGCTGAGATACAAGAGTAGTTGAGACCATTCATGATTCATTTGAAAACTTTCCTTAATTGACAGGGGTTAAAACATCAGCGTGTGCAGTTGATGAAGAGGATGAAGGAAGAATCTGATGATTTCAGGAAGTTCAAACAACAGAAAGACAAGGAGGTAGCTCAGCTGATGCAGAAAGACAGAAAAAGACAGTTTGAGATCGCTAAGCTGCAGCGTCAGAATGAACGACAACAGTCTGTACTGAAACGTAAAAGTGAAGAGGTAGGATAATGGAAAGACTTCACAAGTCTTCAATGTTGTGGAACAATGTAGTGTTTTATAGTATGGCACAATAAAACTTGATGTAAAAAGAAATTTTATACTATCTTGTGTTCATATTTCAGGCTGCTGCAGCCAACAGAAGGTTAAAAGAAGCATTGTCAAAACAGAAGCAGATCCAACAGGAAAGGGCAAATAAATTAGAGACCTACAATTCATCTTCCATAGGAAATAGAGTCAGGGTATGTATAAACATGTATATATCATTTTTTAAGAAGTTTTCCAATTATATTACAAATATAATATTTTTATCCATATGCCCTGAAAAACTGCCGAATCACGCCGGATACAGTTATGTTCCCCGGAAACAGTTATGTTGCCCTCCCGAACACGGTTATGTTCCCTCGCGTGCAATCATTCTGCATATCAATTACGTCGGGTTCGAAAATCACAGAGGCAGTTGCTAAGCAAACGTAAACAGTTCCGCGAAAGTTAAAAAGTCAAAAAAAGGTCTGCGATTTGTTTATTTTAATTCAGAGGAATTAGATAATTTAATTGAGGAGAAAAATTCTTTTAATACAACAAAGGCTATCAACACAAGTGTCAGCATACTGAAATCATTCTGCCATGAAACAGGACGGGATATTTCGGAATTATACTCAACGCCGGTACATATATGTGTACATAGTGTTCGATAAATATGTTCGATGATCGATTTGGGTTCAGTGCTTAAAAATGTTATATACCATATATTACATGGCTTAATTCTCGGGCAGCAATACCAGAATATTTGCCCCTCGGTGACAGGAAAGCCCTGGAGTGTTATGTCGCCCTCTGCCTGCGGCATCGGGCGACATAACACTCCAGGGCTTTCCTGTCACCTTGGGGCAAATATTCTGGTATGCTGCCCTCGAAGCCATGTAATATATGTATAATATATATATTATGCAAAAATATTTTTTTTTATCCTCCTATTTATGATTGGGGCAAGACTGTGAACTGTAATCATACTTTTTTTAAAGTAGGACTTTTTTATGCAAAGGAATATATGAACAGTATTGCATTAATTTACAATTGATTAAATTTGAATGCAAAATGGAATGTGATTCTTTTTAATTTTCTGCACAGTCCTGGCTAAGCCATGAATTAGAGGTAAGAATCAGCATTCGAGAAGCTAAGTACCATCTGGAGAGCTTACTAAATGACAGGAAGGAAATAGCCAAACAAATCAAAGAACTGAAAGAGAGGCTAGAGGATGAGACCGATGGTCCACCAATCAAAAAGTTGGCATGGTTGGCAGAGAACGGTGACAAGACAGAGGTTAGCTTCGAAGTGGACAAGATGAACAAGGAGCTGAAAGTTCTGGAGGGAGAAATGGTGCTGAGAAATGCTCAGATTTCTGAGCTACAGCAGAAAATTGTGGACGCTGACCAAGGTTTGTTCTGTTTCATTTGGAAATTATAACAGAAGAGATTAAAAGTTATCTTTTCTACTCTGTAGTAGTAAATGTACATTTAATACCTGGAAGTTCATTACAAAAATTGTTGTAGGGGCTTTATTGCTATAACAACATTCTTTGAATGGAAATTTAATATGCATAATTTATTTATAGATATCAAGGGCAAGATATCCTGGGACACTTTGCACACGATGGTAGAGGCTAAATGTGCTCTCAAATGGTTGATGGAACAGGCAGTGTCTTCTAAAACAGACTTGACAAGGACGCAGGGAAAACTAAAGGATTCTGAGTATGACGACAAAGACCTCAAAGAGGAGATTGAGAGGTTAGAAAAGGAACTATCGGACCAGTCAAATAAACATGAGAAAAAGATCACAACACTGCAGAAACAGCAAGAGGAGAAGGTAATCTAAAGAAAGCTTCTCAGTAATTATTAGGTTAATTTTTATATGTCCTACTGATGCTCTCATACCTTACATGATGAGGACTGGAAATTTAAGGAAGCTTTAATATTGATTTTGTGAACCATCAAATTTTTTTTAACATTACCTGGGATGAAAAGGAATAGCATATGATATACATGTAAATTTTTGTAGTATAAATAGACACATAAGTAAAAATCCTTTGTATTTATCTATTTGGTAGGTGCTTTTCTTGTTGAACAAAATAAAAGGAAGTGCTAATGTTGAATCTGCTGATGAGGACCTGAAGGAACGCCTAAAATTTCAGGTCAGTACAAACACGTCTTTTAAGGTCTGAACAAACATTTATACTAAGAGAACAGTTGACATAATGTAGTTGCTTCTGGTTCAGCTTACTAGTAAATGTCGTTCAAAATAATGCATCCAATCTGACTGGTTTAAAGCCTGCTATGTGGTGGGAGACAATTTATGATGAAAATACAAGATCATAATCAAGAAAACCGTAGATCTGAGTAATGACACCTTATAGGGAGTGATAACCCTACTCAGACCTGATAATTTGTGATGTCCCCCTCCTAAACAGTCTGTATTTGTATATTGCACACAGACTTATTACTATAGGAAGTCATATCCATGTTTATCTGGTTGATATGTGAATTTATTACTTGATTGCAGGAGGGGGAAATAGACAGACTGAGCTCCTTAGAGGAAGAATTAAACAAGAAATCAGAGGAGTGTGAGGAACTGAAAAAAGTCAGTAGAAAGGTCAAGTTACTGATACTTTAATTTAGATGGTTTGTCTTTGGCATTAGTATATTTTACAAAGAATCATTTTTAACATTTGTCATTAAGCAAATGACCAGAGCCATGTATCAGAATAAAAGAATGGCCCTTCTGCCCAGCATTGATGATCCCAAGTCATCACCATTTCTGTCACCCACTCCAAAACCTAAGGTATATTATTAAACTACATCAACAGTAATTACCATGTTCATTTTGTTTGTTTGTGTGTGACTGTGTGTTTGTAAAGTCTCCACAATTATTTCAGAATTTGAAAAGAATGATTTGTTTAGAGGCCTGTTTAAAGAAATCATTTTTATGTTGTGTATATTCTTTTTTTTTTTAAGATAAAGAAAAAGAAAAAGCTTGAGGAGGAGGCAGAGGAGGACTGGGAGGAGACAGAGGAGGAGAGCTTCCTCACTGAGGATGACTCCAGTGATGAGGACTGGAGAGCTACACCAATGTACAAGAGGAAAATGGCCAGCAGGAAGACCATGGGTGGAGAAAATTCTTCAATCAATGACAAGTCAACCAATGACAAATCAGCAGTGGAGACATCACAAGTGACCAAAGTAAGGGGAGGTCTAAACTGAAGGAATATAAGTAACATTTAGAGTATATTAGCTGTTGCTTATTATTGGCAGTTGCACAGTCTACTGTACTTAATAATGGTTCATAGCAAGAACTCACTCATGTCATCTTGGAATTAGATGTTAAAAGTTTTGAGTTAGGTTATTAAATTTATGCACAAACTGTATGTTCAAAACTAAGGAAAAAGTCAGGCATTTACATCGTACGTATACATTATTTCATGTTATTCATACATCAAGCATAAATACTTCAATTGGAAACTTTTTCTTGCTCTCAGAAATCCAGTTCATCTGCACTGATTTGTAAGTGTAAGACTAACTGCAGCAGTCGAATATGTTCCTGTAAGAAAAAGGACAACATGTGTACAGACGGATGTGGGTGTGACGTCAGCAAGTGTAAAAACAGGGAAGCCAACTCTGACCAGGAAAATGTAAGTGTTATAGACTGACGTGTGCATACAGTAGTAAGGAGAAATATTTATTTAGAGGTTAGAGATTAGCAAATTCATTTGGTAAAGATTTTATATTAGATCTGATGCCTTTTTGTTTTTCCTTCAAAGTAATAATGTAAGAGTTTGAATTTTGTACAAACCATATGATTTATGGTCATACAGTTAATGAGATTCATAATAGGGCTTCGTTTTATAGAAAGAAGATGGAGATCCACAGGCCACTCTGAACAGTACATATAATCTGGAGGAGACGAGTGCCAAGGAGAACACTCATAAGAATCCATTAAAGGATTTAATCAGCTTCAATGAGGGGAACCGCAGTTCTGATGAATTCGTTGTACCATCTGCTGTTAAATCCAAAAGAGCAGAATCTAGTGACAGTGTCAACCTCCTGGAAGGGGGAGTCAAGAAGAGGAGAAAACTGTTCAGCACCAGTGCCAGGAATAACAGTACCAGCTTCTTTGGCCCCTTGGAGTGAATGACTTATATGTAGACCCTTTTTATTTGGGTATTTATTTTTCATGATTTAGATGTAAAAATATTTTTTTAATAGTTTTAGATTAAGGATATGATTGGAAGTCAGTAAGAAATGATAGGAGATGAATGGATTTTATGTGTTTTATTGAACTGAGCTACTCATACCTTGTAGTTCATATACACTTTATTGTGTATTGCTTTTCTCCATGTTCTAAAAATGTTTTTCTCTCATTTTCTTTCTCTCTCTCTCTCTCTCTCTCTCTCAGAATGTAACAGCATTCATTCATCAATAAAAACACATTTAGTTACAAATGTATGTTGTATGTACCAGTTACATGTACATCATCACTGAAAAAAGTGCTTCAGAATCCTATGAAGTGTTGTGAATCGTTATATGTTTGAGTTGTTGAGTGACAAATAAATCGAAATTTATGACTGTCCAAAATTTAAGATTGAAAATGTATTTTGTTAGACATTATGGTAATGTAAAATCTGGCAAATTTTTCTCACGAATTTCTCCTTTTTCTCTGTGTCTATAGTTCATTGATTTTGAGTACAATATAGATGTCTCATAGTGTCCACAACACCCTGATACATGTAAAAAACATAAATAAATATTACATTGTATGTTTCTGATACATTAAATGTATATTTTTATCTGTCAAATTATAACCATTACAATGAAATTGAAGATGAATTTTTAGAATAATTTACATACCTTTTAAATTTTGTATTTTTTGCAGCTTGTTTTAGAAGTGTAGTGTATTATTAAAGGTGTAAATATGATTATATATTGAAGAAAAACTATGGACAAGTATGTAAAAAATAATGGTTTAATAAACTCTGACCACATTCTTAAGTGTTGAATTTATTGATCATTGAATCAAAATCCTTTTTAATGAAATATTTTATAAGATTTCATAATCACTTAATCTGTTTGCCCATTTGTCTATTAGTTCATGACAACAATAATACTTATGTCCTATTTTATAAACAGCTAAAAATCTGGCTGATTGAATCGTCCGTAGAGAAACGAATTAGGTCACAATGCCAAGATTTTATGATGAGTAATCACTGTAAATTCAATTAATTTAGATTTGCACAAGAACTTTTAATATATAAAATACAAAAAAATTCTTTCATACCATTTTTGATATCAGAAGAGTCTTTAAGATAAAGATATTGTAATATCATTTAAAGTAGGGTAACTCAACAAGAAACAGCTCTAAAGAGCTATTTTTTATCCATTAAAATCTATTATCCAACTTGTAAGTAATAGATTAAAACAAAACATTATTTTCGTTAATTAAATGTTTTTCAGAGAGGTTAAAATCTGTTTCTGCTTCATCTTTGAAGAAGCAGTAGATCTGTAGTCTTCATGGTGATAGTGCCTAGTGGGAGCATATTAGCACTCCCAAGCAAACGCAAGGAATTTGATCAACATGATTTGTTACTGAATACTAGAGTATTTCGTTGATCCATGATCACCCTCTTTCTTTTGGACAACATGCACTCTTTACGTGGGCATAAATTTGCGTATTTGAATTTTTATCTCAATCAATGGATATTTAGTTGTTGGCTTGTCCATGAATTAGCGCAACAAACTAACGCGGGATTTATTGTATTTATAAATGAATTCTTAGTGTTATTTATGAATTAGCGCATCGTTGTCGGCGCCAAAGCCGCTAAATTACATGTATGAAGCCCACTTTAATAAGTACACAGGGTTGAAAGAGTTATGGAAAATCTGCTGCTTTAGGATGTTTGCTTACACTAGATCGATCTTTTGATCTGCTGTTAACTACCGCATAGAATGAAGTTTTTAGCGGCATGCTAACTTTTGGCTTAATAAAGCAGGTTAGAAGCAGCTTGCTAAAATCTTGATCGCTTAGTTTGGCCCTGCGTATAAATACTGAATACAAGAAAAATAACTTTGATCAGTCTGTACTTAAACTGTTGTTGGATTTTACCAAAATTCTTGCCTATATTATTAGGGCCCCGCAAGGATTTGCGGGTGCCCTATAGTAATCACTCTGTCCGTCTGTCATTCTTCCGTCCACAAATTTTCTGGTTTTTTTTGTAATAACTTTTTTTATGGTTGCCCAATCAAGTTCAAATTTGGTATGGTAGTTCAGTAGGCAGAATTACATATTTTGATGCTAAGTTTGATTCTCTATGTCTTCTGGTTCGGAGCTGGGGTGGTGGGGTAGATTCTTTAACTATGCATAAGAATGAATGGGCAAAGAGAGATAACTGCTTAGAATGTTACCATTGTAAACTGGGAAGGCTGGGTAATTTGTCCTTTGGGATTAATTAACCTTCCACATGAAGAAAATCCTAAGCATTATCTTTATCTGTCACATTGAGATTAATAACTGTACCACGTCTGTCTGAAAATGAACTTTGTTTTGAAGTTAGGTTAATTTTGAATGATGTCTACATTCTCTGAAATATGGATTTAAGATAATGTTCATACTTTATTTTGGTTAAAGTACTGTACACAATGATTGATGATACCGGTAATTTGATTGAATTCAAAATTCAAGATATATATTAAGATATCATTTTTTATTATTACTATTTTATTTTTTTTAATTATTTTTTTTTGGCTGCCTTAATGCTGTTAATTTAATAGGTAATCAGATAATAACCCCATTCTGTCAGAGGTAAAAAAAAAATGTTATTGTAAATTTAGAAGAAAGGGAGCAGTACAATTAATCCCTTGGGATTAATTATCTAGCCTGCTGCAGAAAATTTAGAGGCTTATTTTTATCTGTCACATGAAGATTAATGCACACCTTTGTCTGTAACTGATGTTTGTTTTGAAGTTAAGGTCAATCCTGGGTGATATTTGCATTCACTGAAGGCATGCATTTTATAAAACACCTGCTTAAATTTTTTTTAATACACATTTAATTTAGTTTTTTTAATAAGACATGAGGTTTTCCCTGTTTTATGTAAATACAAGGTTACTATTTACAGGTTTTTATGACATTCAGGAATTACTCAGGAATTATCTTGAAAATTTAAAAATTCAGTTGTTACCTATCATCTTTTTTTTTTTTAAATGTAATCAAGTAAAACTCTTATTCAATGAGATGCACCCTTATATTTCTACCCCTCAGCGGTGCCCTTGCTGACTGGTCAGTTTTCTAGTTAAACGTACTAAACACATATAGAACATGACTTCTCTCTGTTTTACAACGTCATGGAACTGTTTGACTGTTAAAGCTATTGACATACCTTTGAGCAAGTAAAACGCCAACACCTGCTACAAGGTATATATTATATCTTTAGAGGTTTATTGTTGATTGTACGTTTAAGGTTAGTTTTTAAGTGAAGTTGAAAAGTTCTGTGGATACTGAAAAGTCTCCGAGTTGTAGATTTGCAGTCGGTCAAATTCCTGTTCTTCTCATTTAGCATGTTTGGTAGAGAGGAAGAGGGTGTTGCAGTTCTTTTGTTTATTCCCCAATGACAGTTTAAAAAAAATTATGCCCCTGTAATTGAAGATTTTAAGGGCATATAGGTTTTGCCCTGTCCATCCGTCTGTCTAGCTGTCTGTTTGTCCCAATAACTTTAAACTTGCCGGTAACTTTTCACTGGGTACGTGGGACTCTGACCTTTATATTTCAAAGGTGTATTCCTTGTGACAAGACCTTTCTTTTAATACCACCAAATCTGACCTTTTGACATTGGAGTTTGATACACTTTAACGCAAAATTAACAAGCTTTTTCGCCGGCCATAACTTTTAAACGGTTGATTATTTTATTGGATACCAACATCCTTGACTTTGAACTTTGACATTCTTAAAAAGAATTTTTAAAAACCTTGGCCATAACTTTTTAAGGGTAATGGCCAGAACTTTAATACTTCACATAATTATGTAATTCTCGTGACTAGATCTTTCATTGGATACCAACAATCTTGATCTTGTAGTTTGACCTACTTTTAAAAATCTTGAACCTTGACCATAACTTTAGAAAGGGAATGGCTATGGCTTCCATACTTTAAATATGTAATTATTGTAAGAAGATCTTTCATCAAATACCAACAACTTTCATCTTGGCCCTGGAGTTTGACCTACTTTAAAAATCTATAACTTTGGTCATAAGTTTTGAACAGTTAGGGCTAGGACTTTCATCCTTCACATATGTAATTCTTGTGACAAAACCTTTTCTTTAGAAACCAACAACTTTGACCTTGACCCTGGAGTTTGACCTATTTTTAAAAACTTTAACCTTTGCCATAAGTTTTGAACAGGTAATGCTTGGTCTTTCATATCTCACATATGTATTTACAAATTTCTTGTGAAAAGGGTTCAAATCCCACTGTGGGACGTGGTGTCCAGTCTTCCTTCGGATAAGACCGTATAAACCGAGGTCCCGTGTCACAGTAGGTGCTGACACTAAAGAAAAGATCCATCACTGCTCAATGGCCCTAAGTGCCGAGTATAAAACAAAATTCTTCGGGACTTTTGCGAGAAGCACTTACTTTTCAGGGACGTAGCAACAGGGGGGGGGGGGCAGGGGGGCCTGCCCCCTTTTTTCCCAACCTTACTTTTATTATTGAAAATGTCCATTGAAAGGTTGGTTGCGCCCCCCCCCACTTCTAACCACAGTATAGTGATATAAAGGAAATGTAGTAGTGTATGACAAAAAAATTGAAAATGAAAGGAAGTTGGCCTTGAAAAAACTTGGCCACTAGCTTTCATATTATACAGGTATATTCCTTTTGTCAAGACCTTTCTTTCGGTTCCACCAAATTTGACCTCTTGATCTTGGAGTTGGACACACATTTACACCAATATTCCAAACTTTAACTTTGGCCATAAATTTTGAACGGCTGGTACTAAGACTTTCATACTTCACATATGCATTTTTTGTGACAAGACTTTTCATGGGACACCAACAACCTTTTGACCTTGACGATTGACCTACTTTAAATAAACGTTAACATTGACCTTAACATTTGAGCGGTATAAGCTAGGGCTTTCATACTTCACATATGTAATTCTTGTGGCAAGACCTTTCATTGGATACTAACAACTTTGACCTTTTGACCTTGGAGATTGGCATACATTAAAAAAAACTTTAACCTAACCCATAACTTTTGAATGGTAAAACCATTCTTTGGGTACCACCAAATTTGACCTCTTGAATTTTGAATTTGACACACTTTTACACCAAAATTCCAAACTTTTGATACAAACAATTTTTTTCTTTGAAAAAGATTTAATATCATGTCACAAGTTTAGAAAAGTGGATAAATAAGAATTAGAAAATGAAATAGACTAAGAAAATATAAGTAATATTTCAATGAAAAAACAAATATAGACAAATAACATTCAGTAAAGGTTTACAGGTGAAAACAAATTTCAGAATATGTTACCTTGGTGCTAAAAGTGTAGTATAAACTTTAGAAAAATATACCAAGCCAGGTGAATTTGAAGAAGAGGAACAAAATGACTAAAAATTAGCAATATCACATAGGCTGATTTTTACAATTTAGCTTTTCCTAATAAAATTTAAAAAACACATCTTGTTGTCATTCGGGGTATATATTTTTGTTGTTTCGTCCGTCTGTCTGTCTATCTGTCTGTCTGTCTGTTTGTCCGCAAATACATTGACCTTATCCTTAACTTTTGATTTAGTGGAAGTATGATTTTCATATTTCACATGTGTATTCCTTGTGACAAGATCTTTCTTTGGGTACCACTGATTTTCACCTTTTGACCTTGATCTTGGAGTTGGATACACTTTTAAACAAGAATTCCAAACTTTGAATTTAGCTATAACGTTTAAACGGTAGATACTAGGAATTCACACACTAGTATGTATTCTTTGTGATAAGAT